TTGGGTGAATACATCTCATACTACTGATTTACTGGTAGTCACGAAAACAATACTTAATTCGAAAAATAGAGTGAATACATTTCATACCCCATTTTCCTTATCTTGCTCAGGAGTTCTTCGTGTTCACCACTTGACTCACTCTCTCAATCCTCTTATACACCAACTCGTTCCTCCTGTTCAGGACGCTGGTTATTATGTTAATCACACGTTTTGATGTCAAGTGTTTTGGACCAGTCTATCGAGTGTCCTGTATTGCCAAAATGTGTTCAGCGAGGTCAGCTTTCTGGACCCACAGACCATTCCAAGCGGTTTTGTGTTAATATATAGTCTCTTGTGAATGGGTCTGCAGGTCTCCCCCACATCAACCTTACCACATGAGCACAACATGTTGTAACAGCCGGATCTAAAAAGAAGGTGTGAATATTCTCTCAACGAGAGATGTTAATTCCTCTTTGCACATTGTTTTTATATTCCATTTTCTGACAGGAAAACAAAATGAGTTGTCCATCTCGCCCCGCATAGCAAACTCCCCTCGTTTTGTTAACAACAATTGAAATGTAATTGACTCCTAATTCTAATGACTAATTGCTTTAAAGCAGTAACTGGCTCAATCTACCAATCTCCTTATCCTTCCGATGTACGTATGCTACACGCAGACTTCATAACTTCTATTTCTACTTGATGTGTATGGCTCGAGAAGAGATTATTAAGAAAACCCGCAGGTTTTGTTCGAGGCTCTGAGTTATAAAGGCTACATGACAACGTCTTTTGGCATTGATAAATCAGGTTTAGGAATCGGCCCGAGGAAACAATCCTCATGCAATGAATTGAAAAGGAAGCAATGCTTTTCCGAGAAGGAGAGGGAGAGGTAATGCGAAGAGTGGGAAGAGCCAATGGACACGACTGGGAGGATATCACACCTCGCATGACATGAACATTGCATACACACAAGCAGGGTCAACATTAGAGATTCATACGCCAGTTTAGTTATTTGTGCAATGAAACAGCTGCCAGCGAGAACACTTCCGGCTTGTGGAATAACTTCACTCATCGGCAAGCATGTCGGGTAGGTTTGGGGAGGTCAACCAACTCGTAGAATGGCTGATTTCGATAGAAAAAATCATCACCTCAAACGAAAAGTGGTAAATAAATATCATATAAGTGTGTCAAAAGATGACTTTTATGGCACCCGGCCACCTTTTCTTTAATTAAATACATATTTTTGCACTATTTCGTCAGTCCTTTTTCGGTTTTCGATAAGAAGACATCATCAATTCCTTCCGGCCAAGTTGTTACATGAAATGGCAAGTCATGCCACAAAATAGCACTGATGGGTTCTTCAGAAGCGACATTTTCTCAATTTATCTGTCCCACAGATTATGAGTAGTATGTGAGTAGTGCAATATGAGAGGACTCACTTGTCTGCGCCATCTTCTCCACCAGCCTCAGCATGCAAGCGTACACGTTCTCCTCCTCCTGCCGGGCAGGTTGGTTACCCTCCACCCCTCTCCAGACCGACTCGATCGTCCCATTCTCGACAGGATAGTCGTTTCCTCGACTTCTCGTTACCGCCGCATGCCGAAGGTCTAATTCGCCGCATTCACGGCTCCACGATACCACTTCCGTTGACGTTGACGTCGACGTCGACGTCGACGTTGAGGTCGACGTTGACGTCAATGAGCTGACCGGCCCGGAGTGGAGGGCGGCAGTGGGGCTGAGGTGGTCGGCGAGGTTGGGCAGCGAAAGGTCGTGATCGAGTGCCATTTGGTTCGCGTAGGCCTCCAGACTGGACATGCTCGTCTGCCGGAAGATTGCCTCGGCAACTGCGTGTTCCATCGTGGCTGGATCCAATTGGTGGTCGAACAGAGCGCGGGACAGATCATTTGTTTGTTTGTTTTTATTTTTTTTCATTTTCTTTCTCTTCATCATCTTTCTCTCTTCCTTCTTCTCGTCTTGTTTCTGTTCGCCATCTTTACCGCCCTCCTCCTCTTCCTCCATTTCGTCATCTCCCTCTTCCTCTTCCTCTTCTTCCTCCTCCCCCTCCGCATCCTCTTCCTCTTGCTCCTCCTCCTTTTCCTCTTCTTTCTTCTGCTCATCTTTGCGATGCCATTCACACGTCTGAGAGTCTCTCGCCCGTCCGGTACCCCGACGGCCGGCCGCCCACTCCGCCTCCGCTTGCCCCAGCCCGGCCGCCATCGAGGCCATCAGACCGAAGATGCCGCCAATCGGCCAATCAGCATCGCCAGCCGCGCTCGGCAGCATGTCTTCCCCACCCGACGCCAGTCGACCGTAGACGTCTGGTGGTACCGGCTGCGTGTCGCGGCTCTTGAATCGTCCACGCCGACGGCCATGTCCATGCTCGGCGGCTCCGAC